CAAACCAAACCAAACCAAACCAATGTAAATGTTACTTCCTTGGTTAATTTAACTTCCTCATTGCACTGGTCCTTTTCAGATGTAATATACTGGTTAGGATTATTAATGCTTAGAAGCTACTGAAAGATTCCTTGGGAAAAGACATGCAAGGCTTAAGAAGTTGCAACAGGTGTATCTGCATTCTGATGAACCTCAAAAACACCTTTGTGCTTTCAATTATATAGTTTTCATAGACATATTCCTAATCTAATATAAGGGGATAGTCTTAGTTATTAAGGAATATTTAAGATGTAAGTCCCAAAGGTGCTGAGCTGAAAAAGATTCTTGGATGAAAATTGAAACGTTTTCAAAGAAAAACAAGACAGTCCAGTTCCCTCTTGAAAAAGCACCTTTAGGACAACCATGATGTGGGTAACTGAGAATCTCCATAGACATTTTAACATGTAAGGTCACCACTACTATAGCATAAAAATTGAGTAAAATAGAATAAACTTACCACAATGGTACATGCGATTAAGCCTCTCTAGATCTATCTTGCTCATATCCTGGCTTTGCCCAATGACATTGTTGAATTCTGGAATTTTTGTTGTAATTGAAGGGACAGAACTGTTCTTATTGAATGAATAAGGTCCATAATGCATGACAGATTCATAATCATATGGAGTGTTTAAATCAGAAATGAAACTGTCATCATATTTGTCAAAATTATATGCCTGACCTAGAAAAGAAAATACCAAAGCTTTTAGGCAAATTTGAAAATTAATGCTTTAATATGTTATTAAACAATTAGACAATAAATTATAACAGATCTAACTTCTACAGCTTGGTCCCTAATACATTACTTAATACATTATTTACTTTGTAATACATTTTCTGTCCTTTCCACTTACCATCAATGATTTCATTCCACCAAATCTTAACATAGTCATCTCGATCAGTGCGTGACTGTTCATGATAAAATCCAAGGGCGTGCAAGACTTCATGCTCCACAGTATCTTTATATTCACAGCGTGATCCAATAGAAACGACTTGGCCATTCTGAAGATCTCCCACATAAGACCAGCATCTGTTATATCATGATATGTGCATTCTTTTAACATATCTGATTTAATACAACAACTAATATAAATATATAACCTCTTAGGCTAGAGGAGCCAAATGATAATGGAATGAGAGATTTTCATCCACCACACAGCATGCCATCTTACTTTTCTAAGCTACCCATTCAAAAAAATATACTGATACTGCTTTATATCATCCAAATACAAATGTTGGAATAGTCAAACGATTATGGGGCTATTCAGATCTTAATAAACAAGCCTTATATCGCACGTTCATGAGTTTTGCAAAAATGCACAAATGTACAGAGGAATGTACAGAAACTACACAGAGGGAAACTGTAGGCATGTACAGAAAATCTGTCTATATTCTTTCAGAAAGGAGTGGGGTGGATGGAGAAATGGTCCAGTTTGTGCCTTTATACTAGGTATCAATAAAAATGAGGGGAGGAGTACAATATATTTTGTGCACTTAAACTATGGGCAATAATTATTTAAATGGAACAACTTTCTATCATAACATTAACTTGTCTATTTGAATAAATTTACCCATCCAGCTTTTCAAATTGGAGGTAGGTCTTCTCTCCTTCATAGGGTTTAAAGTCAATGCAAGACTTGAGTCGAAACATCTCAAATGCTTGCAATATGACACCCTTGGTATTCAGGTCTGAAAGAAAAGAATGCATGTTTTATATTCTTATCCAGACAGTAGACAAATGAGAGATTCACAAATTGCTCTTAAATAAAATATGTAAGATACTGTATTTTACATGGCTTTGAAGCTGCCATAGCTATCTACAAAAGCATTATATACTTTGACAACAATATAAGAAGTAATAAAGTAGACAAAATGGAATGCTACTAGAAGGATTCTCCCAGTAGTCATTCATTTTTTTCTACTCACCACACCATCAGCCAATGATTTGGAGCAGGGATAAAGAAAATGAATTGCAAAGCTACTTTCTTGGGTACTTATTATTGGAGCCGTATGATACACACACACACACACACACACACACACACNAATCAACCTTGAGCCTGGTAAAATTTGAACTGCCAAATTTGCAGGAAGCTGGCAGTCAGCAGAAGTAGCCAGCAGTACTGCACTCTAGCCATTGCACCACTGTGGCTCATGATCTGCCTCACAAGATAGCTTCTGAGTTAGCTGGATGAGGGGGAAGGCTTCTCCCTTGTCTCAAAATGTGGAAGCTCGCAAGATACAACAATGGGCTTGCATATGGCATGAAAGCAGAAGCCAGGGTGATTCTTATTCCTCTCGGCAAAAGGCCACCAATATTTTACAAATTTTTTTGGATTTATTACACACACCAATTAGATATTGGATATGAGAAGGCAAAGATACCTGATGCTCTTTTTAAAAGATAAATTATAATCCTGAATGTCTCATTATAATTAAATCTTCAAAGGTTACTTGAGAACTTACCATGGATGCTTCTCAGTTTTATTGACTTCCTAATGTTTCCAGCACCATCATCAGTTTTAAGCCATACAGTCAGATCATCTTTTGGACTGCCATCAAATTTGTAAAAGAATTGTAGACACTTCTCATTTCTTTTTGGATAAAGAATACGGGACTCCAAAATGGCTGTTTCACCTGAAAGGCCTTTGGTGGTATCAAAGCTCATAACGTAGTTTTTCTCTGTAAAGTAGATGAAGATGATTTAACGTCCTATGAACCATGATTCATTTTGGACAATTCTGCAGGGTTTCACTGGGTTTAAACTGAGGCACTCGTGAAAATGTGTCACTGTAATCTTATAATAAAAGTAATATTAACATTCATAATTTGGTTTTATAGCCCTGCCTACTTCAAAAGGCTGGCCTCATTTTTGCAGGCCTGAAAATGCTTCCCTCGTTCCCTTTATCTTTCTCAAACCTGGAAGGGTCAATTCTGAGACACTTTCTCAAATTACTTTTGTGCCACAGACCAGATTTCTTCTGTTTGAGCTTGGTTGTGGGTCTTTCTCCTGATCCTCAAGATTTTTTTCTTCTGCCCACAACATATATTTTTTTAATGCCCATATATTTGCAACAGGAACATTATGTATGTATGTATGTATGTACGTACGTACGTACGTACGTACGTACATACGTACGAATATCATCATAAGGAGATTTTGATTGCTGATTACTTGTCACATATTAACACTTTGGATACAATTAATATTTTTAATTCTGTTTTTTTTTCCCATATGCTACAGTCTTCCTATTGGCTTTCATTACTAAATGATTTCCAGTTGTATAGCCACTTTCTCACCCATTTAAATTACACATTTGTATGTTACCTAAGCATTGGTTGCTGTTATCCCGACTTGTAGTCAAGGTATGTTCCCAGTCCTTGTCGTCTCTTCCATTTTGCACCATGCCACAGATATTGATGGACTCAAACGAACATTGGTCAAGGAGAGTAAGACTGGAAGCTGCAGGAAACAATCCACACATTTCAGAATTAAAGAACCCTAAATACAAATAAGACAGGCCCCTGTGCTGCTTAACAAGCCTCTTCCCAAATTAGTGTTGTGTTCCTTCC